GAAAAACTCAAGAAGAAACTAACAATAAAAGGAGAAAGATAGCAAGAGTTGCAAAAGCTGTCTTTAAAAAATGGAACACTCAATGAAATTCGTGACTTCTGAGCTATCTTGTGATATATTGCAAAAACCTTTCAAAAAACAAGCGGCTGTTCAATAAGACAGCTCGAAAAGCACATTTTTCAGCACTTATAAAAAGAAGGTCAACTCAAACCAGACACAACCATTTGCTTTTTAACGAAATTAAGTGAAAAGGTGAGTCCTAATCGATGAATATCAAATGTTCCGCACACCAAGCTCTCCTAATCGGCACGTCTACATCTTTCCCTTGCATAATGGGTAGCACACAAGCTCCACAAGCTTCAGTCCTTATTATCCTCTCCTATGACCGAGAAAAATCTTGACGAAACACCCCAAAACAGCTAAAGTAGCTAGTATTTACTATGCAGACTCCTACCAATGCACGAGCTCATGCTGACGAATTCACTTGTAGAACTCAAACATGTGTCTAAAGAGAACCCAACATTCGGTTGCACACAATGATGTTGTCTTTATATGCGTTTTTATCATATTAGAATGGTGTAACCTGCCAGCTTAGACCAGAGAATCATTCAGGAACCTTCTTCTTACAATCCTGTTTGTCGATGTTGTCCCGTCGTGCGAAGAGTGAACAATAGGGTGGGAAAAACGAAAACAAAACACCTGTCCATTTTATCACTAGACAAGAAAAGTTATCGCTATGTTACCTGCTCATCACTAACCTGATAATCCTTCCGGTATCCTGAAACTCCTACCGAATCACCCATATTCACAAATACAGAGTCCAAGATTTCAACATCGATATTCTCAGCGATAAAGCTCGCCGACGATAACTATTCACATCTCTTATGACAGAGAACGAACACTTGTGCTGTGAGGGATTCCAAGGAAACAAAAGAACTCTACACAGTTCATAAAGCTCACTTCGTGCACCACCTTCTCCATAAAACGACAGTTGAAGCAAAAGTAGTGTCAAAAAATCGAGAACGTGAAGCATGAAATTAGCTGAAAGTGTCGTCCCTACTGATAGGAGATGGGAAAAATGAAGCTCACCTTCCCGTTCCTTCCTCTCCTCCTCACTCGATTTTTGAATCAATTCAGCAAGTTCTGTTTGACCAACGATCTTAGCTTTTTCCGGGCGATCCCATACTGTCTCACGTGTTTGCCAGTGGTAGAAGTACGGCTTCCCTTCCGGTGACTCGGCTTCCACCCATAACTCCTCGTCTTCTGCGCAATTTGCAAGCTATAAAAAACCTTATTTCTAAAAATCTTAACAAATAGCACGAAAAAAATATTCGGATACTGTTTCTGGAGAACTTGTGTGAGACAAACGTACCCTTTTTAGTCTCGTCGCTTGATCGACCATGGGCGTCGGATGTGCCTGTGTTTGCGGCGGTTGCTGTTGCTGTTGTTGTTGCTGCTGTTGCTGCTGTGGCTGTGCCTGTCCTGGAGGAGCATAACCAGGTGGGAATCCTGGTGGATACGCTCCCGGATAGCCGCCACGTGGTGGAGGGAACACCACGACCACGGAATGGTGGTGGTGCGAAGCCTCCACGTGCAGGTGCAGGTGCAGCGGCGGGGGGCGTCGCTGTGGCTGGAGGGGCAGCTGGACCACCCTCTCATTGTTTGGCAAATAACTAGGCGGCGCTGAATAACGTGCAATAGAAAACCGAATAATGCTCTGCCTATTTTGTAAACATAGCTCGCAGACACATATTCGGCATTTTACAATAATCGAACTTTCAGGGCACTTTCACGATTCAGATGTTACCAGCGGGATGTTACCAAGTTTGACGAGGGATTGAGTGAATTTTATACCGTCCATTTTTTATAAAAAAAAAACTATAAGAACCTCAACGTTCGTAATAGCCATCCTTTTCATCATTTGTGCGTTTCCAAAACATTTCGACTGCAGGAACTCTGATACATTCCCTTGCAGAATTAAAATTTTTGTGGGCTTTTTTTGAATCCTAACTCAACTTTAGCTCACTCTGCCCTGTGGCGTGCAAACCAGGACACAAATACGTCAAGGACATTGCAGCAGTAAGGAAAAAAGAAAACAGGGTTGTCAATAGTGGCTTGCAAAATGGCACAAAAAAAGAGTCGAACAGGATGTTTTGAGGCTTCACGCTGCAACTGTTGCACCTCATCTTTTCACTACTCTCCTCTTTCCACTTCTTTTCTCATTCATCATCATTTGCATTGTACCACCTGTTATTAACCTCGTTATGTAACACACGCCTTTTTCCTGATCATCTACTTCTGAACGCGCATAAGCACTCACAACAATTCCTTGTCCGGATTCTCCACATTTTCACTTGACATTTTCTAATCTAAAACTATAGAGGCTGCTAATTTTACACTGAATTGAAAAGATGACGCACAAACCTCCACGCCCACGGAAAAATGTCGGTGGCTGTTGTTGAGGAGGCGCTTGGCCATTGAACATTGGTGGCGGCATCGCACCACCTCGACCTGGGGGAAATCCTCGAAAAGGTGGTCTGTAATGTGGTACATAAACTGAAGACAATCGATAAATTAAAGAAGCAATGTAATCAACAACGAGAAATTTTCCACAACCTGAAAAATTGTAACCGAGGTCTCGCTACATCAGCCATGTTGAAAGTGATTGACGAATTCAAATGAAATGCACTTGTATTCACCCAACTAACTATTAGGCCTTATCATTATCACTTGTATCGCACGTAACGTTATCGCTGCCCATCTGCACGTCAGAGAACATGTGAAACGTGGATGGGGCAATCACATTCTCATTCCTGAGTCAACATGTAACGATTCACGACTTGGGAAAGACTCCCTTCTAAACCATTCGATTTGCTTCACATGTTTGAGGACTTGTGGTGAAAAACCGGCCGACTCAAACGCGCTCTCATCGGACGCTTATACCCACAGCTTCGCTTCTCAACAACATCGCAGAAGACATTCCCTACCTCACCATATATAAAGCAGGCGCTATCGCAATATAGGAGGGCATCTTTATGAACTAAGCCGATGAAGAGGCAGGAACTCTGAGGAAAGTAAATGTGACCCACGCACCCTAGAGGCAGGAATTCCGAGAAGGATAAATACGGCCTACGCACCCTGGAGTCTCTCCTCCCCGCCTTAAGCTTGGCCCCGTTCTCAACTAAAAGAATGTATTTTACGCAGTTCTGAATGCTTTACTATCACAATGCTCACGAATCTTGCGACAGTGTCTATAGAGCATTATGCTTGTGTTCTGAGCGTCCATTACGAAATTCGGTGTTACAGCGCGTTCATAGTCGGCGTAAGGCCGATGTCAGACTTTGCGAATCGCGCGATTCGCTAGCGTCCGCGGTCGCGTTGCGGTACCAGCCAATTGAGTGATTCACTGGCCGCGACGCGACCGCAGACGCTAGCGAATCGCGCGATTCGCAAAGTCTGACATCGTCCTAAGATCGTAACGATCGACGGTGTTAGATACGTACTGACCGTCCAATCCTCGGACATTCGACGACGTGACCGCGATACGACAAAATGCTGTGGCAATGATCCGATCGAGGCAGCCGATATGACGCGGCCTTAAACTAAAGAACCACCTAGAGAAGTATTGTCAAGTCTGAGTGGAATTGGAAGAAGTATAGAACAGTTAATAGCTGGACGGAGCTCGCCCACAGAGAGCGTTCACCATATTAGCTGTGTATACAAAAAATGAC